AACAGCATCTCCGAGACCACATGAACACACACACGGACAGACGGCCGTACAGCTGTCGGATCTGTCGCAAGGCATACGTGCGGCCCGGCAGCCTGAGCACGCACATGAAACTCCAGCACGGTGAGAACCGTCTCAGGAAACTCGTGTGCTGCGAGTTTTGCGCCAAGGTGTTCGGCCACGTCAGAGTCTACTTCGGCCATCTAAAAGAAGTGCACCGGGTCGTCATCAGCACCGAGCCCTCCCCCGGGGAGCGGCCGCCGGGGGACGTGCCGAAGAACAGGGGCCTGAGCGCACGAGGGCCGGAGGGATCCGTGGAGAGGTGAGTGCTCATGGGACGGAGGCCCGGCAGGGAGGGCGCTTGGGATTTGGAGAACAGGGCGAGGTGTCATATTCAGAAAGATGACTGTGTAGAAACATCCCTCAAGTGAAGATTTCCTAAGGTAGCTGCCTCTTCGTCCTCGTTCTCTAAAGAGTCATCTCATTTCTCTTGGGTTTCCGAGCAGTGACGGTGTTTCATTACTCTCACCCCTGTAAGGCAGGTTCCAGGTCTGCTGGGGACAACAGAGCGAGGGAGGATTTTGGCATCTGAAATAAGAAGCAGTAAAGTGCTGCACATAGTTCCCGGTGCTCTCTACAAAGTAACTGTCCCCAAACTTTTGGCCACAGAATTTATATCTAAACACCATCCTTTGCCCCAGAATACAGCCTGACCCATGGTGGGGACTCTGCATGCCCCACACTGACTACACCCTCAGGTGCCCGGACCCAACCCTTTACATTTGCCCAGTTCTTCCTGTCAGGCTGGATTAACGTTTCCCGGGTCACTGCTCCCCTGTGCGGGTCCTGGCTTCGGGTGTTAGGAACCAGCAGTCTGCGAGCCGTGGGTACGCAAGGGAGTGCCCCTCGGTTTGCCCGCTTTCCACCGGATGACAGGGGGAGTTTCCCTGAAATCCGTTCTCATTCGCACCAGGAAAATTCAACATTGTCTAACTTTAGACGCTCTGCCCCTCATCATTCGTAATTGTCCTAATTGTTCCAGATACTTTATCCAGTTGTATCTTCCTCTGTCACATTCGTTGAAGTCAGGGTCACCTGTCCTATTTCTTCCCGGTTTTTCTGTAGTTTCTCTGCTTTTCTTCGGGCATTCCTGTCCACTTGCAGACATCTGTGCCTTTCATTAACTCATATAGCGGCCTCCCTCAAGAAACCACCCCTTCTTCATAGTCTCCTGTGGTACATTTTGATTTTTAGGTACAATGTCCACACTGCTTTCTGTGCTCAAGGTTAGTGAGGAAGGGCAATAGTGTGGCCAAACCAGCAGGGTCCCTGCCATGCTTCACTTGCTGCTACCTGGCTCCTGAGTTGATGACACCTCGTTGGTCACCAAAGAGTAGTTAGCCCCCCTGGGGGAGAGACAGGATGGGAAACACCCCTTCCCTCAGTGGATGCTGCGGGCTTGAGAACTGGGTGGCCTCAAGCAGGAGTGACGGCTGGTGTTACCTGTGGCTTCTGCTTCCCCGAGTGCTGTTTCCCCCGCCCCCCTGAACTTCTCCTCAGCGGGGGTGTTTTGGATCCCTGAAGGCGAGCGTCCGAGAGGAAAAGCTCCACTTGTGGTTTTCGTGAAATCTTCTATTGGTTTATTTTCCCCCCTTTTCAGGGCAAACAAGTCGAGCCTGGAAGAAGACCTCCTCCTCACCCAGGCAGATGAAGTCAAGTTGCAAATCAAATGTGGCCGCTGTCAGATCACTGCTCAGTCTTTGGCTGAAATCAAGTTTCATTTACTTTACATCCACGGAGAGGAAATTCAGGGCCGGCTGCAAGAGGAGATCCTACCAGGAAGCAGAGGCGCTCAGGAGGACCTGGTGAAACACGCTGCTCCTTTCTGGAAACAGCATCCTGAAAGAAGAAAGCTGCTTAACAAGCACGGCCCCCCTGATGAGGAGTTCCCCACATTTCCCAAACTGAAAAGGCAGCTCTGCCTTCATCCCCAGAAGGATATGGAAATCCTCAGGAAGGCTGAAGGAGCCCAGGCAGGACCCAGCGAGCCGGGGGCGGGTCCCAGCCCCCACGCCCCCCAACTTTGGTCCCATTCAGGCTTTAACTGCGTCTTGTGCACACAGATACTGCCAAGGAAGGAAGAACTCCTCCTGCACTGGGAGCAGCAACACAACTGTGAGGACCCTCCCAAGCTGTGGACGATTTTAAACACCCTCTCCCACCAGGGAGTGATCGGACTTTCTGGCAAAACTGAACAATGAAATACTGGGGTGGGAAGGGGGTTAAAGAGAGTGCTGCTTGCTTGCTTTCTCTTTCTCTCAAAGCTTTGTGTTCCTAGGGTGGTGCTTAATTATAAAAGTCAAACAAGTTAGGATCAGCATTAATGAGCACAAGTGATTTTGTGCATAGTTTTATTTTCTTATGAAATACATATATATATATATATATATGCCCTCGATGTATATTTTTCTAGCCACATGCAGTTTTATTTCAAAATTCTGTATACCAATTGTTAGTGTCCTAGACCTTGAGAATAAAAAGAAAGATGAAAATTTGGAGATTGAACTGTAAAAAATGAGAGGCTGTTCTTCAAATACTGTTTTCAGCATGTCTGAGTGTGTGCATATATCATTTTGTTCAGCTGGTTTCTGTTTAAGTAGACCAACAAATGTGATACGTTTCCAGGTGGCAAAACCAGTTCAGTCTCAAGCGTAGTATAGTGTTGATATTTATCAGATTTGCTGGTGTAGTAGGAGAGGCTACGGAGCAGTACATTTAATAAGGTTCGCGTCTACTGTAATTGAAAATCCATGTTTCCAGGACTTAGATTTTTTTTGTAATTTTGCTATTTTCTTAAATGTACGTTGCCTTGAAGATCAGATGTTGGTTAAGCCTTACAGCTGTAGTGTTCCATATCAAAGTAATCAAAACTTTTTTAGTACTTCAGCTAATAAAAAAACACTTTTTTGGTTAAAAGTTCTTTCCAAATAGTCTTTCAGGCCAGGAAATTTACTATCTGGAAAGTGCACTAGGTGGTGCAGTCCAGATGGCGAGGTGTCTGAACGGCTCGCCCTCCCTCCCAGGGAACTTCACAGGGTTGTCGCTAGCTGATCAGCTTTCGATGCCACTGTGTCTTTCAAGCCCAGGGTTCACTTTGAAAGTCAAGAGTAAATGATTGCCTCTTAAATTCCTGGGCTATGACCTTGAATCAGAAAAGTTGCCATTTGGAGCTCCGGGCCATCCTTGGCTGCAAAATCATTTTCTTAGAACAGGGAGTGTGAGCAGCCGTCCAACTGGAATTTCCGCCTTTGGGCAAAGGTGCTGCGCATGTGGCCTGCCCCGTTTGTCCAGAGCGCGGCCCATTTTTCCATGCTACAGCAAGTTGCCTAAGCAGGAGGAACTGAATTGGAATTGATAAGCTAGTGGGTCTTAAGTCATCTGTTTTTAATGTCTCGTTTTAAAAGCAAGTGTTCATAAGCATGATTTGGCTCGAATTGCCCAGAAAGGGAAAACTCAATCCTTGCCTTTTTGCAAATCATTTTATAAATTTGAGAATAGGAGGGTAAGGGTGGAAACCTCTGAAATATTTTGCCGTGGTTTACTGATCGATCACGCTCTACCCAGTTTAAAAGGGATCCTATCAGACCTTCACTGTTTGATACTTGTAGAACTGGGTTAGTAATGAAACTGCTTTACCATTCAGTGCAGCACCTAGTTTGTTTGGGGAAGATTGGTCTGGAGACACTTAAAAAGGAGATCAACCAAAAATCCTACTTGAATTCAAACCATGAATCAAAACTCTAATCCATAGACTCCTCGGTCCTCAGGTACTAAGTAGCAACGGGCTAGTTGGCTAAAGCACGGGAGCGGGTCTGGAATGTGGATGAGGAAGAGGTGTGGGGGCAGGGGGCACCCACCCGGCACGGAAAGGAAAGTCTGAGTCCCCGAGGTTGTGGAGACACCCGCCTACAGCCAGTGTTTAACCACAGATTCTTACAGCAAGGGCACAACACTAAGGGTATAGACGGCCTCTAAAAAGAAGGAGAGACTTAGGAATGGGGCACCAGCCCAGGTAGGGAGGTGTGACCGGCCCATGCTGATGTGCCTGGCTGGATCCCTGTCTCATCAGGGCTCTGAACCCTCGGTTTGGGGTGGGGTCGGCCCTCATTTTTAAGAAAACTCTTGTTAGGAGAGGAGATGTGCAGTGCAGAGGGGCCTCACTGGATGCCTATGTGTGTGGGTTCATTTGGAATAGAATGTTGTAGTTCTCAGCTTCTAGAAACACTCCCCCGCATCATAGTAGGAATGGCCCCAACGCCACCTAAGATAAGAGGCTTCTGGAGAGTAGCCCTTCTTCAGCAAGAATGGCACGGAGAGGGACTCCTACTGATAGTAGGGAGGGGGGGCCCAGGAAGAAAAGAGAGTCCGCCAGCTAAAGTGACTCGGGACAGCTCAGATTGATGAGCCAGTGGGTCTTCATTGATAAGCCTTCCTTGGGCACAGGCGTGTTACTGGCTCAGTCCCAACCTACGTCCTTGACCCAAAGGTGGGAAGGTGTAGAAATGTGCTGCTCCCTCCATGTGACCGTGAGCGGTGACCTGTCCAAGGCTCCATCCCCTCACCTGTAGAATGGAAGGGATGCTCCTGCCTCAAGGCACTGTGGTGAAGGGCCAAGGAGACCCAAAGGAAACTTCTGGCACACTTGGGCCTCGTAGGAACCAGGGGCTGATACCCATTATGCTTCTGGCCAGCCTTGGAGAAGAGGTATGTTGTACCATAGAAAGACCATTTCAAACAGCTCAGGTAGGCTTCAGGTCCAGAATTCAAAAATGAAAACTCAGAACCATAGAAATGTGCATCTTCGCATAAAATGTGTATTTTATTTTTTCAGTAATCAAGCCGGGATCTGGATTGCATGGAGGCTCGCCGAGGATTTGCTTGATAAAAGAAAGCAGAATTCACGAAGTCATTTTCATTCCAGGCTCCACTCTGGGCCTCGTATGTCTCCCCGTGGCTGCCCCTCCCTGGTCCTGATCTAGCTGGCACCACCAGGGTCTTGAACTTGACAGTGGACTTGTCCATTTCCAGCGCCAGACCATAAGCCTCTTGAAGGCAGGGATTGTCTCTGTTCAGCATGTAGCCCCAAAGGGCCCAGCACCTGACATTAGAATAATGTACAATCAATATTTGTTGGAAAAAAAGCGGATACATTAGCTAAATACAAACAGAACTGCCGCTTGCCTTTTCATGAATAAAGCCAGCTTTAGGAGCAACCGGACTTACAGCTGGGAGGGCATAGAGGCAAATTCGGTCTTAAATTAAGCACACTCATTTTGCTTAATGTCTTTTGCTTCTTGGAAAATTGTCCCAGAGCCAGCAAAACGAGACTTTTTTCTTTTCTTTTGGCCCTAAATTATTTCTGAAAGTTACAGCATTTTAGATTTGTATTGTTTTATTAGCTGTCATTTTTATTCATGCCCTCCTTTGTTTCGCTCTCTTTCTCTGGACCTCTTCCTGGTTTAGCTTGACGGAGCCTCCGCTAAGCTGTTCCTCATATGGAAAGTTGTCTCTTCATCAGCACGCCATAAATAATCAAACCTGGGTGCGTTCCATTACCTTCTCTGGCTCCACACTCCCGCCTCCCAGCTGCACGGCTTCAGCTTTCTGTGGCCCCAGTGACATGATTGTTGGCAATAAATGCTCAACTTCATTTATTTATTAGAATTCTCAGATCTGGACTGGTTTGCTCCATTCAAGCTGCTGACATGCTTTGTTAGGTACATATTTTATGGAGTCTCCTTCTTTCACTGAGCTCCTGAGAAACTGCCCCAGTAAAGATGAACTGGGGTTTAACAGAACAGGCTTTTAGCTTCAACTGTACACTGACTTGCCTGACATTAGACAATCAGCAGCTTGTCTAGGCTTGTGGTGCAATCCAGTAGATATTTCAACTATATCCACCTCTTCGGGAATGTTCCTTTCGAGGTGAAATGTTTATCGTATCTCCTATTTGGTCATGGTCGTGGTTATCCCCACCATAAAACTACAGCCACAGTTTTGTGAGCACGTTTTAAAGTTGGGTTCAGTATGCAGACGTTAGCCTAGTGGTTCATCATATTTTCCATACTCTGAAGTGAGAAAATGTTTCAACGTGTTGCCTAAGCCTAGGAAAAAATCGCTATCTATGGAAGGAAACCAAATGGGACAACTAAAGAGAAGTAAAGATCTGTTCTAATTTTGATGTGAAGGTAATCAGGATTTTTTCTGTCTGTATGAAGCTTGCTCCCATCTTCAGAACTGCCCCCCACCCCTTGGTTAGCTTAGCAGCAAAGACTTCACCTATAATAGGATGGCTATATCTCCTCTTTCGGTAGGTTCCAAAAACAAAATCACAAGCAATTAGCATGATAGATCATTTCTGACAAGCCAAACAGCCACTAAGCACTATTCAAAAAAAATTAAAAGATTTCCCCTTATATCATTAAATACGGATTTAATCTCCAACTCGGAGTTGTAAAGAGACCACCAGATCTTCTAGAGGCTTTTGCAGAAACAGCAATGAACCTGATCTGACTACTGCCTGAGTTGCAATGCAGATCTAAGTACAAAAATTTGGCCATGGACGAGATCCAGGTGGTTCAAACATATGAGCTGCATAACCATCCCAAAGCTCTGGCTATATCTGGAAGCAATATTTCAGAGTATGTTCTTAGGACACTAAAACACTGCCTTTTCCTAGTGTAATCTAAATTAAAGCACACTTCAGTTTTTCATAAGACATTCATAGAGCCAAGGCTTTTGAACAACGGTTACACCCAAGGAAAGTTAAAATATCCAAGAAGACAAAGGCTTTTGAATGGTGTTTATTCTTTCTTGAACTAAAGGGTGGGGTGAGGCGGGGAGAGCAAGAGGGCAGTAGTCCTGGGTCAGGATGTGGCGAGAGGAGCTTTTTGATCATGAAAAGCCCCAATGGGGCGATACCAGGGTAGCAGGGCTCCTGGATCCAGTGTCCACACAGCAAAATGCCAGTAATATTTTGGTACAGTCACAGTGGAGCGAATGAAATTGGACACATAGCAGAATCTAAACTGCACAGACTTCTTGATCCAGGAACTCCAGTTCTGGGAATGCGTCCTCTTGATATCAATGCGCATGTGCACAGATGGATGTGTGAGGATGTTCATGGCAGCACAGTTGATAACCCGTGGAAAACTTACACAACTTACGTGTCCATCCGATCTGGTTAAAAAACATTACAGCATACCATATGATGGAACACTGCGCTAGAGTGTAGAAGACTGAAGTAGCTCTTTGCGAGTTGGAATAGGTCATGTGTGAAGGCAGCAAGGTACAGAACAATGTATGGTGTGCTCTCGTTTGCTTTTTAAATGGAGGAGGAAAGGGAGAAGGAGAAGGGATAGATTATAGATGCGTGTGTATGCACACGACATTTCTGGAAGGTCTTTTCAGGAAAGGAGTACTGGCAGATGGGAAGGGGGGACACACTTTTGCCTTGTTGAAATGTTTTGCTGCATTTTTTTTTTCAGCTGGAAAAAAAAAAATGGCTTTACCAGATTAAGCGGTAGCTCTCCTGTTCTCTTTTGGGAAGGCCTCAGCCAAATCGTGAAGGAAGGAAAATTCGTGTTACCCCTCAGCTTTGGGGCCCATGCACATCTCCTCAGCTGCGCCCCTGCCGCCCAACAGTACCGCATGGACAATGATCCACAGTGACAGAGACATCTTTTCAACCCAGTACACACATGGATACGCACACAGACAGACCTATAATCCAGACGGAAGCTTGACTTCGTGAAAATAATACAGTGAATGTAATAATTTACATTGCATTTTGATATGTTCTCTTCTAAGTTGTTTTTTAAAGGTTGGCTACTTCACACTAAATAGACTTCTTGACCCACTAAGAAAAGGCAATCTGAAATACATTGCTGTAGACTTCAGACTTTGTGACCCCTCCCTATCCTATCATGGCCTTTCTGGGCTGTTCCCCAGTTCCTCTGGTCCCTGATGCCAGAGGCTTGATGAGGGACTCTCCTCTCTCTGCACAAAGATGCATTTGATGGACCTTTGAAGGGTGGCCTCAGGCCAAATGGATGACTAAGGTTGGGGGTTTCGGACACCCTGTGGCCACTAGGAAGGCCTTGGGTGCCTCTCCAGCAATGCCCTGGTGGATCTTGAGTGCCCCTTCGGAAATGGGCAAGGAGAAACATTGCTGCCTCTCTGGGGCTCACCCCAGTAAAAGCCACTGGGGTTTGAAACCCTTTCTCGAAGTTTCACTTGACTAGGGTTGCAGACTCTGGGTTTGGGTTGATTTTGCCATTGTCTCTGACTTCTCACCCAAAGTCACATAAAACGGTGGGGCAAAAATCTCGTGGACTGAACAAGAGGCAAAGTGTGATAGCATTCGAACCAACAGCCTTCCTCTACCCTCCAGCCGCGCCCCCTCTCCTGTCCTGTATGAAGAAGCCCACACTGGCCAGTTTTCTGAAGATAGGGATAGGACCCTCTCCTCCTCCCAGCCTCACTTCCTGGAGAACCTTCTGCGCTTTGCCAGGCCTGCAGTACGACTGGGTCACGAGGGTAGAACATGGTCAAAGAGAGGGCTGCTGGGGCTTCAAAGTGATCTTCATCCTCCCATTGTCTCTTCAAGGAGAGATTCTGAAATTAGGCCAAGTCTCTCACTGATGCAGATGAACACCACCGCCCCCCCACCCCATGGCAGAGCCCCAGCGCTTTCGCTTAGCTGTCCCTTGGTCCAAACCATTCAGAGGTAACACCTAGTTAATTCATTCTCCTGTGTGTATTCCTCAGGGGGCCCTCTTTTTCAGTTTCAATGTGTTGGCTTGGAAAAAACAGGTCTGGTTCCCCTTTTTATAGCAGCTTAAATCTGTCCCCAAGTTGCCAGAAAAGTGTTTATGGAACTATTCACAGGTCCTCCAGGGATATTCCAAATCCACACACAGCTCCTGAGTGCCCATGTTCGAGGGCAGAGACACACCCCCAGCATGCATGGGGCACCTCTGGCTCGGGGAAGTGCTTCTGGACTTCCAGCCAGATGGGTTTACCTAGGAGGCGCCACTGCTGGGCTGTACTTTTCCACTTGCACACGGAGAAGACAGAAGAGAATCTGGCCCTCTCATTGGTAATAAAAGGCATGAGGGGAGAAGAAAATTGGCAGGGATTAGCCAATGATTGGATGTTTTCGCTTTGCTTTGGTTTTCCTCAGTGCCCTGAAATACTACTTCAAACATGTCTGCCATCTTACATGGAAAATAATAATTAGAGCAATAATTGGTGTAACTCTAAGGGCCTTTATTATTGAAGAGGGGAAGCTTACACCAGTTTCACAAAGGATGCCTGCTCTTCTGGGTCCTGTGGGATTAATCAGGGATTTCAGTCCATTTATAATCGGGAAGATTTCCACATCACAAAATCCATTGCTATAATGGACACTAATTGGCCTCATTGTTGACAGTCCCAGAAAAGAAAGCTCTGAGTCCCAATACTGAGCAAAGTGCTAAAAAGTTAAGACAGTAGGTAGGAAGGAAATCATGCTGTTTTGACCCAAGGTTTGCTCTCTTCCAGGGATAAGGAAGTGTTTGGGGCTGCAAGATCGCAGGCAAGCCATTCAAAAATAGCAAAAGACCTTCTAGTACAACAAGGAACTTAAAATAGGTCCAGTAAGACCTCCAGCACACTCTGGCATTCAAAGTCTTTTAACTTAGGGAAGAAGCCTCTGAATTTCAGTTGGGGGCAGAGCCGATGGAGGGGGGAGGAAGAAAGAGCTAATTCTGAAGGAAGAGCATTTGACCCTATTTCAGGAAAACAGGCTAACTGCTCTCTTTTGACTCGTTGTGGCTGGGAGGTGCTATTTGCAGGGACCACAGGAGTCTCCGGGAACGTGAACAGGCTGTGAGGTTTGAAGTGAACCTTTCACACCAGGACGGCATCCAATTGGCGAATATCTGCCAATTTCCCACTGTGTGCCAGACCCGGGTGCCAGGATGGCCCCAGCAAGCCCTTAAGTCATCCCAGTATTTTCTGTCCGATTCATCATCAACATCCTTGAGAAAACATCTTCGGTGGGCAATTCTTTTAGAAGACCATTAAAGTAAGCCACAGAAAAGACCAACCACCACTAAGAAGTCCGTTGACTCTGCAGCATGCAGGATCTTCACCCCTCCCCAGCCTCCGTGGACTGCCTTATTTCTCCCCTTTCGAGCCGAGATTGACGGTGTCCCCGTGGTTTTACAGGCCAGGACACGAACCTACCATCCAGGGACTATGGATGCAACCAACTCATCTCTGGCTCAGAGATCCCCACCTTGGAGCTGACCCGCTTTCCCACTCCCAGCCGGCCCTCCCTGCTTTCTGCTCTGGTGGCGGGGGCTGGCCTCGCCCTGGGTCTGCCCCCAGGCTCACTTGACCCCTCGCCTGTGGTCACGAACGAGGGAGCCCCAGCTGTGCATCCAGCCACCCACACGAGGCTGTGCCCTCCACCTCAACAGCGACACCGTATTTTATTGGGCCCCAAGTGCGGGAGGTAGCCCTCAAGTTCTTTTTTTTTTTTTTTTAAAGATTTTATCTATTATTTATTTGAGACCGAGAGAATGAGATACAGAGAGCATGAGAGGGAGGAGGGTCAGAGGGAGAAGCAGACTCCCCGCCGAGCAGGGAGCCCGATGCGGGACTCGATCCCGGGACTCCAGGATCATGACCTGAGCCGAAGGCAGTCGCTTAACCGACTGAGCCACCCAGGCGCCCGGTAGCCCTCAAGTTCTTACAATGACCTTTGATCCCGTGTTTACCCTCTCTTTCTGCGCACGCTCGAGCAGGCCCCGTGGGAGCCCGGCGGGGAGACCCCCGAGCCACTGAGTGCCATGCCCAACTCCTTCCTCCCCTTGTGTGGCCCTCGATGGAGCTCTGGGCTCCCTCACCGCTGCTTGTGAGCTCCCTGCACCGAGCTCCGTCCTGGGGCGGGTCCCCCCAACATAGGCTCTGCCTCCCCTCAACACACACACGGACACGCCCCCCCACGCCAGACAGGAGCTGCTCCCTTCCCCCCGGAAGCCCCGTTCTATTTCTTGTCTTGGGATTCACACAAATGAGCACCAAGCAGAGGCCCATCTTCCAAGGGGTTGAGTTCTAACCCCCCAAGGAAGGCAAAAGCCCACGCCGCCATCCCTCCCTCTGGCCCCCAAAACACATGGCCCCGGGTTCTGCGAATACTGTGCAGGGCACCTAACTAACTCCCAACACCTGTGCAGCACTTCCCACTAAGAAGGGGCCGAGGTAGGAAACTTAAAAGGCAACGTTCAACCTGCACCATCCGGGGAGCAGGGGAGAGCAGGGGCCTCCGGGAACCAGATGGGGCGGAGGCAAGGCGATCGGCGGGTACCCCGGGCCATTGCTCCCTGGGCGGCCCAGCCCCTCGCTCTCGGAGCACCGTTGGGCTCTCGGAAATTAGCTGCAGGCGCGGTGCCACTTCTCCGGAGGGTCGCCTTGACCAAATCATCCCGCTATGGACCTTGAACAAACCCGCCAAGGAGCTTGGTTTCCGAAGTAAGCGCGGCTCCTCAATCTCGAGGGCCTTGTGCTGTTTCTTCTACAGAGCTTGATCAACAGCTAGTTAAACAAAGGAAGGAGCGGACCGGTAGGCCGCACAGGTGTCCGCCAGGGCTCCCGCCCAGTGAAAGCAACGGAATGTGTGCGTGTCCAGGGCTGGAACACTCACAGCCCCGCCGAGCAACTGAAAATACCTCCCTCGCACACCGAAGTGGAGGCTTACTCTTCTGCAAAACAAACGGATGTTCCCTTCTCCCAAGTCGAAAATGTCACCAATTCACCAGGTTGGCCCAGGCCGGGTTTCTCCCAGCGACCCTCGAGGCCAGAGGTAGGGAGCAGGGCATGAGCCCTCCAACAACGGCTGATTGTGATTTATTAGTGGAGGGAAATTTGGAATTGAACTTTACCGCTGGGATTCACTTGCATTTGAAAGCAATGCAGTTAGTAGTTCATCTTTCAACACTGAATGTATTTTCTCGGCTTTTATATCTTTCTGATGAATTAAGGGCTTATGGAAGGTGAGGGCTTGAAAGCATTAGCAGCTGAATCTCTTAGTGGATCTGCTTGCCAGATATGGCTGGATGGAAAAACACAGGGACCAATTTTATATTGTTTCTTCACCAATTCATATCAGCCATGAACTGTGATGCTTTCCCCGTCCTACAATGGGCGGATAATTTGAGTTCCTGGCCCTCTGGTTCTCCAGGCCATTTTGAACAAGGTCTGCTAATTGAATTCAGTTGTTTGCAGTTTTAAATGCTCCGTGTTTTCCACAGAGCAAGAATATATTAAACTCATTTCATCTGTCATCCAAGAAGAATTGGAGCCTGAATTTTATTACCAACTGACTCGTGTTCACCTTTATCCTAGATTTTTTTTGAAATGTTTACATTGTAATTAAAAACAATCAAGTCAAATTATCTATTTGAATTGGTCCCTTTTGGGAAAGATTAAAGAAGAGAAAAGGTGCCTACAATTACTTCATTTTTGCTTTCTCACACAGAAATACATCATGCAGCTGGTCACCAAGAGCATTTCGTAATGTCACTGGTCATTCAACAATTACAAAATATTGTAATTAAATGTTCGAATGCTCTCTCTCGTTTTCCCATTACAAATGATCATGGAACTTGATTAACTTCAGCCGTGTAGAAAGAGCCTGGCTTTGGTAATATTGTTTCCTGCAATGCACACCTCCAGGGAAAAATATGATCTGAATTCTGAAGTCAGAACCAATTAAAGTCTTGCATTTTTCCC